CTGACCCGGCCGCCAGCAACACACAGAGCAGCCGATCGCCACAGCCAGCGCCACTGTCGCCGCCACGCAGCAGCAGCAAGCGCGTGCTGTCGTTCAGTGCGCCATCACCACACACACACCCAAAGGATGATGCCTACTCGCTCAGTCCAGTGGGCAGGTCGAGCCGGCGGTTACTGTCGTCGCCGCGCCGCGCCCAGCGGCCCATCCCCAAGACGCCGTTCAAGGTGCTCGATGCCCCAGACCTGGTTGACGACTTCTACCTCAACCTGCTCGACTGGTCGGCCACCAACACGGTTGCTGTTGGGCTTGACTCAAACGTGTATCTGTGGAGCGCGCTGACAAGCCAGGTCACGCGGCTGTGCGACGTGGCAGAGGCGATGAGTCGCCCACGCAACACCGTCACGTCGGTGAGCTGGTCGAAGAACGGCGCACACCTCGCCGTGGGCACCGCAGAGGGCCTGCTGCAGATATGGGACGTGGCGCGGTCGGAAGTTGTTGCGCAGTACGAGCACACGCACAGCAGGGTGGGTTCGCTCGCGTGGTCCAGCAGCACACTCGCCGCTGGGAGCAGAGACCGAGCCATTCGCCTGTACGACCGACGGCAACCAGAGGCAGCAACACCGTCGCTCGTGGGGCACCGGCAGGAAGTGTGCGGGCTGCAGTGGTCACCAGAGGAATCAACGCTGGCAAGCGGCGGTAACGACAACAAGCTGCTGGTGTGGGACGTGCGCGCGCTAGGCGTAGCACACCGGTTCACACAGCACAAGGCTGCGGTGAAGGCTGTTGCGTGGTCGCCACACCAGCACGGTCTCCTCGCCTCTGGTGGCGGCACCGCTGATCAGACCATCCGCTTCTGGAACACGCTCACGGGGCAGCCGCTGCAGACTGTGCAGACGGAGTCACAGGTGTGGGAACTGTTTGGTTGTATTGTGTGTATTGTGTGTTCCTGTGTGTGTTCTTGTGAATGTGTGTTTGTGAATGTGTGTGTGTGTATGTGTGTGTGTGTGTATGTGTGTGTGTGTGTGCGTGTGTGTGCGTGTGTGTGTGTGTGTGCGTGTCCGTCTGCCTGTCCGCCTGCCTGTCCGTCTGCCTGTCCGCCTGCCTGTCCGCCTGCCTGTCCGCCTGCCTGTCCGCCTGCCTGTCCGCCTGCCTGTCCGCCTGCCTGTCCGCCTGCCTGTCTGCCTGTCTGCACATTTGTGGGTCGCCATCGTTCCATCATCTCCACATCGTTCCAACGTTGTGCGTTCACCTCTCCTCCTCTCGGTTTCGTTCTCTTCTTCGCAGGTGTGCAACATTGCGTGGTCACGCACGTCCAATGAGCTTGTGAGTACGCATGGCTACTCGCAGAACCAGATTATCGTGTGGAAGTACCCCTCCATGACGCGTCTTGGCGTTCTCGTTGGACACACGCAGCGCGTCCTCTACCTGGTACGCACGGCAACGGGGAGGAAGACAGTGGAAGAGGAGGAGAAACGTGGAGCGTGCTTGGCAAGGCTCGGAGAAAGTGTGTGTGCATGATCTGCAGCTTCTTGCCTGAGGTGCTCTTACTTCACACAACCCAACACAACCCAACACAACCACTGCCAGGCACTGTCGCCAGACAACCAGACGATCGTTACGGGTGCGGGGGACGAGACGCTGCGGTTCTGGCATGTGTTCAGCAAAGGGACAGCAGGGAAGGACACGCGCTCGCCACTCTCAGTCATGGCGCAGATCAGATGATGATGATGATGATGATGATGATGATGATGATGATGATGATGATGACGATGATGATGATGATGATGATGATGATGATGATGATGATGTGTTCTTGTATTGAATCAGACAACAACTCAAGCGAAGTAAACACTAACGACCAGGCACGCGCGCACATGTACAGGAGCCCAAAGAAAAGAGGACCGACAACACCAATAACGACGTGCGGGGATCGGGCAAAGACAAGCAAACCACACACACACACACACACACACACACACACACACACACACACATAGACCCCATCAGGCCTTTGTTTGTAACCAACACACACACACACACAAATCCTACATATGCACACACACATACACACGTCCTAAGACGCACGCCGGGTGCGCTTCAGGCCATGTGCGTCTGCGGGTCCTCGAGAATCTGCTTGAAGTGCTCGGCCATGACGGCGCCCTGCTGCCCGTCCAGGAAGCGGTGGTCCACAGTGAAGGTGACGGGGATGAAGGGCCTGCTCACCACGCCGCCAGTGGCCTTGTCGATGCACGGCTTGTCCTGCAGCTTGCCCACCATGGCCAGCAGCGGCACGCGCGCAAAGGGCGGGTGCGGCACAAAGCACATGTCGAGGCCAAGCATGCCCACGGAGGTGATGATGGCGGTGCCAAAAGGGTGGCCCTGCACACCGATGGAGCGGATGGTGATGCCGAGCGCGGCCAGCCACCCCGTGATGACGACGAGGGGCTCCAGCAGGAAGGCCGGCACCCACGACAGGAGCGGCTTGCGGGCCTCGTGATAG